CTATCCAAGTGCCACTCCAATCCTCACCCCCAGAGGCGTACCTGATACAGCCTGTACCCTGGGGTGCTAGAAAGGAGGCAGGGGGGCTTAAATCTCTATCCCAATGGTGGAGACTCAGCAGGACATTGCTGAGACTGGAGGTATCATAGGGCCTTCCCTGCCCTACAACCACTGCAGTTTTATTTGGTGAATGACGATCCAAAGCCCTTAATTTGGCAACAGCTGCTGACCTAGGGAAGTCTTAATCTGCCTCTTAACAATTACACCTCTTGCAGAAAGTGGCTGCAGCCTCTCCATTCTGCATGGCTGGAGGCTCGAGACCCACTACTTCCAGCCCAACACCCTCTTTACTGAGGGGCTCACATGCAGTGCACACAAAGACTTCCTGTGGCAAATATGTTGCTGGTTGGCCACCCCTATTTTTATTGCTTTGCATCGTTTCGACATAGAATTAAAAAAGTAAAACCATTTATTATAACCATTTTTAAAGAGATGTGGAAAACCACTGCTGTGCACTAGTTATATACAGAATCTCTGGCAAAGGAGTTTCAGGGTTGGGGGTTCCCATATCCCTGCAATAGCTTTATTATTTTATGGCTACATGGGTAACAGGTGTCTTTACCCTGGGATGGCACTGGTTGAAGCACCTAAAGAAACTTTCAGTGATGGGTTTGCCATATGCCCAGTAACAGTTTTAGTGCCCACACTTCCCAAGGGATACAACAAGTAGGGTCCAGTGATGGAGCAGCACTCTGGCATCTGAAAGACCTCAAAAGCATATGACACTGACAAGGCAACTTACACCCATGGGTAGCTGCATTCTGGAGGCTCCCTGCAGGGTGTCACTGGGGTCTGCTGGAGCAGCCTTTTCTGAAGCTGCTGTTACTGGGTAGCCCTTTCAACAGGAACTTTCTTAATGGACTTGCCCACGGTTTTACACTCAGGGCCCAGCTGGATGTACTCTCAGGGTCTGTGTAATTCCAAGGTGCAGTGGGATGGAGGGTCCCCAAGGGCTAGCTCTGAGGTAGTGCCACCCCATGGGACCCTGGTGTCAGGACTCCTTGTGGGCAGTGACATTGGAATTCCAGGTCTGGGTGGAACTGAGAGCACGTAGGAATAAAGGCTAAGTATGGGGCAGCACCAGGGCATGTGGGGCTGCGTGCAGGGTGCCCTGCTGTGTTTCCAGGGGTACCCAGCACAGAGGACCTGGTGAGGGGCAGTGATGGGCTGGTTTTACTCTAGGATTCCTGAACTCAGACCTTGTTGCAGGCATGCAGGTCTTGGTCTGGGACTGCCAGGCTGGACTGTGCCAGGGCAGAGGTGCAATGACCAGTTCTGTACCTCAGGCAAAACCCTCCTGTGCCCTGTGGTGGGAAAAGGGAAAGAGGGTGGTCCCCTTTTCTGAAGAGGCAAAGACCCAGAAGCTGCTGTAGTTGCGTCTTGCACTCAGCCCTTCCAGCCAAGCCATATAGGGTTATTTCCCACACCTGGCTCTTCTGGCCAAGCCAAGTTCACCATGCAGCTACTGAGCAGGTCACCAGGGGGCCAGTGCAGATGTTGCCCTAGCCTTTACCTCCTTTCTTCATCTTCGCTGCTACCCCTTTCCCCTGGCCTTCACATGCTGCTCACAGAGGCTGCATGTGCCACTTGTGGTGCACATGCCATAGGTGATAGCGCCTGCTGGTCCAAGTAGACAACCCTCTACTAAAGCTTAAAACTTAAAATACTACACATTATAATCATTTTGCAGGTTTTCACATTTTAGATCAGAGCAGAAGTCTTTATACAATGCTACACTCACCAGAAACCCAGATGAATTATCTAGGAGGCACCGTAATCTGCAGATGAAATTTCTTTCCATAAAGGAAGAATTCTCTGGAGGAAGCTGCTCTGGGTTATAATAGGCTGCTGGCTGTGAAAAGCCATTATCTGCTGCAGGAAGAGATTATTTATAAGGATTATTTTTAGAGGAACACCTAGTGAAGGCTATCTATAACAAATAATCTTCCGCCCCATAAACAAAGTCTCAGGTCATGACCTGAACATGAACAATGTAAACTGGAAACATCCTCAAGACCTATAATGATTACAGTGCTGGTTTAAATATCAGTTATGATGTAGTTGTTTTTAGCTGTGCATGGTACTAGAGAATTGTGTGCAACACTTTTTAGCTTTGCTTTCTTAGATTAAAAAAAGAACTAATTTCACAGATTCTAAATCAGTGTTAGAAAATTAGATTTTTTGAGAGGAGAGAACATCCAATCTTGCTGCATGGGTGGTATTTTCAAAAGGGCACTAAAGGATTAGGCACTCTATTGCCATTTACTATTGATATTGGCCTCCTAACTCCATTAGGATTTTCTAAAAATTCTAGCCTACATTATACCTGGTTGGCCCTAGGGCAGGGGTGGACAAAAAGGCGCATGTGGCCAGTGGCCAGACTCCATTTCCCAGCAGCCCCTGCCCATGTGGCTGAAGCCGATTTCCATGGAGACCCCAGCAGTAGCTACACTGTGATAGTGTCAGGCCAGGGTTTCCATGGAGACTGGTACCAGCAGCACTGGCAGGGTGCGTGGAAGGATGCGGAGCTGCTCCAGAGCTAAGCTGGGATCTTGCAGCAGTGAAAGTGTGGTCCAGAGCCAGGGAAGAGCTGCGATTTGAAGCCTGCGTGCTCCGGGGCTGGGACGTGCAGGCAACAGATTGCAGCTCTGCCTTGGCTTCTTGCAGTGGTGACAGCATGCTCCAGAGCTGGGGCAGGGCTGCAATCTGCTGCCTGCACATCCCTGCCTGGAGCATGCAGGCTGCATATCGTGGCTCTGCCTTGGCTCTCGATCACAAAGTCACCACCACAAGATCCCATCCCAGCTCTGGAGTAGATCCTTGCCCTGTCGCATACCCTGCCAGCAGGGGCAGCACTAGACAGGCCTGGGGGGGCTACAGCCACCCCAAAATTCCCCATAGCGCCCCCTCCCAGTGGCACTGCTGCTGCTGCCCACCCTGCACAGACGGTGGCAGCTGAACCTGCCCGCTCCTCCTTGGAGCACAGCCCCCACACCAGGAAGAGGCTGCCTGCCAGTGCTGCTGGGGCCAGTCTTCATGGAAACCCTGGCCCTGAGCTATCTGCTGCTGGGGTGTCCATGGAAACCAGCCCCAGCCAGGCAGGCAGGGGCTGCTGTGAAATGGAGTCTACTTATGGCCAGATTCAGCCTGTGGGCTGGACTTTGCCTGCCCCCGGGCTAGGATGATGCATCTCCAAGCACCTATGCAACATCCAGTAAGGAAAGTTACCACAAATCACCTATTCTGGTCTGTTTTATTTACTGTTTTTATTTACAGATTTATGTTAAATATTTACTTATGTTCTGGTGGTCATTTAAAAATAAGTGTAAGAATGGTTCATAACATAGCTACTACATAAACAAGAGTTGGTCTACAGAGTGCTAATCAGTGGGCGCATCTACGTGAGACACTACTGTGCAGTGGTTACTGCACATTTATTTCTATAAACAAGTACTAAATAAATGCACAATAACCAAGTTACTGCGCAGTAGCGCCAGTGAAGGTCTTAAGTGATACTTATTGCGCAGTAGCATAATAATACTGCCCAGTAGCCTAATAATACTGTGCAATAGTGAATTAGCACTGTCCATGCTATGACGTGCTACTGAGCAGTATTATTTGGCTACTGTGCAGTCAGCATCTCATGTTGACATGTCCAGTGTGTACCTATAAGAAGCAGAGAGACTGAGTATTAGGTAAAATAAGGCATTAGAATGTGTAACTGAGCTAAAAGTGATGCTGGTTTGGCAGTTTAGGATAAGCATGTACAGTTGAAATATGTGGCCATTTTATGTTTTGAGTGCTGTGAGTGTATTAAGCACCTTTTAGCTATCTAACTGCAATTCTATTTTACTCTGCAGTTCTATTTCAATTGTATTTTAGCCCTGTGCTCTAGTCCTTGAAAAAAATGTTAGCAAGTTTACTTTTTCAACACGTCATCATCTTAGCTGTAAAACTAACTCATAAAAACAAACCATCTTTTGCATTAATGTTTGCAGGGACTCAAACAGGATAACCTTTAGATGCCTAAATGTGGATTTATCATTGTACTCATTACCTCAAATAAAATCAACATACAAAGAGAACGTTAGAGTAGCATGGCCATTGCCACACCTATGATAATTCCAGTTTTTCCAAATAAGATCCTTCAGTAAGAGAAATAGCAAAAAACACAAAAAATATTTGAATGGTTTGGATTAACACAGTATGCACACTTTCCCATTTAGTTGTAAAATATTGGAATTACAATGAAAACAAAGGGTGTGCAACAAGAAAAATAAAGCATCTGAAATATAGATCTAGTAAATGGATGGCTAGGATGATCTGTTCCTTTCCATTATGCCAATTATGACTTTCAGTAGCAACAATACCAACTTTATCCAGTGGTTCAGGAAACAAAGTATAAAGCAGGACAAGAATATATGCAATGAGGCTATTAAATGGAAAGTGAATTAAATAGGGAATTTTTTTAATAAAAATTTGGAGTGCTCAAGATCTTTAGTGACAACTGTAGATATGAATTAAATTAAAAAGCTATGAAATCGAAACAACATTTCTTCCTTTCTGATTTTTATGTCAGCTGGTGTGAAAACATTTCAAAAGAGTAAAGTCAGGCATGTGAAACTGATCTGGCTCCACAGGTCTGATAAGGGGTATGGGACCAATATACGGGCTAGATCAAGCCCACAGACCAGCCCATCTGCAAGGCTAGCCCAGTGGAGGTACAGCGTGCAACATGCACCCTGGACTGTACTGCTTGAAGTGCATACCATATGTGCTGCTCAAAGTACTTCAGCCACTTCCGACCTGCACACCACACACAGCACATGCCAGTTCTAGCTTGGCCCTGCACATGACACATAGGGCTGGTCCAGGATCTGTACCACACACAGAGTGCAGAGCTGATCTAGGGCACATGGTTCATGTGGCACCCATGCAAGACTGGCTGTGCATACTGGATCTGGCATGCAGGGATGGTCTATGGGCCTGGTCAGACCTGGCCCGGATCCAGCACTCAGGCCTGGTTTGGAACAGGCATCACTTGCAGTGGGCACCCCAGATCAGCCCTGTGACATGCACAGACAGATCCAAACTGGCTCTGCATGCCATATGTGGCGAGGGGCTGGACCAAGCATGTGCAGGCAGCACAGCAGGCAGGATGATACAGCTTTGTAGGCCAGATCTGGCCCACAGGCAGTATCTATGACACCCTGCTTTAAGACACTGGAAACATACTATATAATGTAATAGAATCAATGTTCCTTGCTTTGCACTTGTAGAACGTCTGTCTTCTAAGTGAAATCTGATCACGAGCCAAACTGATGTCATACTTTTTTGCACGATATTATATATAAAGTTCTGCTGCACTGGTAACAGGTCTTTTTTTTTTTTTCCCAGTCTTAAGAGATCTTTGGTATGCTTTCTTACTTTAGAGTAAACCCCATACAAACATGCTTTCTGACAGCAGCTGTTTGCTAAATAAAGTCCCACCATTAAACCTTGAAACGTACACTATAGCGTACTTTCAACTGGATTGTGTAAATTGATTGATATAAAAATGTGGTTGAGTCACCAACCCAACTAAGCTGTTCTAGCAACACTGATGAACAGTGAGTTATGAATGAGTCAAAAAAGCACAGATCAATAAATTACTCTTATTATTTAGGGTGGTGGACATCTGCCTTTAATTTATGGCATCTGCATCCAAACAACAAAGATAAATGGGAAATCATAAGATTTTAAAGGTTTATTTATGTAGATTAACCCTATCCACATTTCAGCTACTGTTGCTGAACTCAGTGTCAGTAATCCAAAAACAGTAACATGGGTGAAGTAGAAGTGATGGATATCTTTTATGAGACCAACTAGCTTTTTGTAAAAAAACTGGTGTCATTTCTAAACAAACTGCTTCTCACTTCTACAGGTCATGTCCATACTAACTCTAAAAGCCAATTAAGGCTCTGATCTAAAAGGCCCAATCCTTTTGCATCATATTCCCAGTTCCCAACAAGCACAGGGTTATACAGGAAACTTCAGATAGGAAGGGGGAAGTAGGAGATGGGGGAGGAAGACAGACAGACAGAGGGAGAGAGGAGAAGACTGATCCAATGTTAACACATGACTTAAACCCCTTCATCAGCTTAAGAATGGATTTCAGAGTCAGAAGTGTTGAATAGGTATGTCAGTGACTGGATGCCTGAGCTAACTGATATCAAGCTTAGGAATAGAAACAGATGTGAAACGAACACATATAGTTTCATGAAACAGGTGTCACCTTATTCATAGACATCAAAATCCTAGCAGATGTGAACAGAAAAACTGATCTGAAGTGTATGTGTTTTATTAAACCATTAGTTTAATAAAAATCATGTTGTTGGCACTTTGAAAAAACAAAGTATTTCATCCTAACATGAAAACAATGAATAATATTGTGATATAGATGGCTCAAGTCATGGAGATTCGTGGAAATTTCTTACTGCTTTATAGTTCAAATCAGTACCATATTTACTCAACTCCAAAATGGGGCTTTTTTCCCCCCAATCAAGTTGGGGGGGGAAAAAAGTCTGGTCTTGAATTTGGGTTTTGGGTAGGGGTGTGTGAAGTGGGCAGTATTTGATTCGGATTCAGCCTGATTCAGGGGACGGTGATTCGATTCGCTGATTCGGATCACAGTCCTGATTCCATTTGGACGAATTGCTGATTCTCCGAACCAGAATAGAATCTTCAGATTCAGATTTGGCCATAGGACATAGTTTTATACGTTTTTCCTGCGTACTTCGAGATACCAGGTGCAGCTCGTGAATGCTGAGATGGTGGGGTAGGTGAAGCATCCCACGGGACCGCAGGGGGTACTTCTGCATGCTCGGCAGCAGACCCTGAAGCGGACTGGAACTACTTGGTCCACTGTGGAGTGCACAGGGGAGGCCCCCTGCACCCTCCCAGCTCAGCGATCGGCCACAGGGGGACCTGGGGTGCCCTCCCAGACCAAGGAGGAACCAGTCACTGAGGCAGGGGGGAGAGGAGTCCCCTGCGTGGTCCACGGCAGACCTGGATGTGGACCAGAAGTGTGTAGAAAAAGCAGTCTGGAGCTGCTTCTGCTTGGTCACGACCACTGTGCTGACTGCCCTGGAGCCAGAGCCATTGCAGAAGATAAGCGGTGAGGCAGCAGGGTGAGCAAATGACCAATGGAGACAGGCAGCAGGCTATGCAGACACAGGTACAAGCACAACAGGAAAGCAAGGGGTGGGGGTCTGGCTATTTGCTCCTCCCTCCTGCTGCATATCCCCACAATGATTAGATTCTATATATGAAAAATTATAAGAAATTAATAATTTTCCATATATTATTATTGGGGAAGAAGATCACCTTAAATTTGAACTCGTCTTGGATTTGGGTAGCTACATAATTTTGCATTTCTAACCTTCATTTGAAGCAAAATTAATATCTTGTTTATGCAACAGTTGGCTGTTAAATGTATAAGTGGTTATTTGAAATGAGAATTTACAACTTGGAAGCCTTGTTCTTCACTGGGGCCTTTTACACACAAAATTAAAATATATGTAAGAACATCCCTTGGGCCCCCACTGATGGTATAAAAGAGTTGACCCATACGTGTTTAAAGCAAAATCTGGTCAATCAGAATACATAGCTTAGTCCACTGCATTCTCACCTTGCACTCTTTGTGCAGAATCTGTAGATTGAGCAGGATTTAATGCCCAATGAAGCTGACGTTGAAATTCAGGCCTGTCTTCTGTATGAATCAATTCAAACACACTCTGGTGTATAATATCAGACTATGCACAAAAAAGGAAAATGTTTAAGATAACAAGACAGCTGTGATGATAGTACCAAAAACATCTTATTGACATGGCTGATTTCTAAAGGTATAATGCAACGGATATCCTGGAGGTACACTATTCTAAGTTTATACATAATGAAGTATTTTTAATAGCACAGAAGAGCCGCCAATTGTGCTCACTATATTTAAATGTTTTGTTATGTTTGTGATTTTTATTTTGAAATTGCAGCATATCTTGAAAGTTTAGGGTAATTTTGTTATGCTTCTTTGTTCAGGGCAAATCTATTAGAATTATTTAAAAAATGGGAAAAACACAGATTTGCCATATAAAAAATGACAATGTTAAATATTTATCTACTTGTTTCAATGGAGCTGAAGCTGAAATGGATTTTGTAAATTAAACTTCAGTTTATATAGGAGTAAACTAAGCACAGTGCCAATCAAGATTTGGAGGAATCAAGGTTCCTTGCACGAAAGAGCACACAAATCTAAGAAAAGTATAAACTACAAATGTTGGCTTTGTTTGCTCATACAATCTTTATTGCTCCGCAAAGGTGCACTGAAGTCTTTAATAATTAAACTTCCTTATCACCAGCAGTACTGGTGCTTAGGAATGGGATATGAGTCACAAATAGCAGCTTCCAGTATCAGGTTTTGGAAAAAATGAAAAAAACTTTTTTAAATATAAGAAGAGAACATTCAAGAGAGGGGACAGTAAAACTGAAGTGAACTGTGCTGTCTGTTCCCTTATAGAATATTTTTTCTGTCTGAAGTAAGCATAACAAAGCCACAGAATTTAAAATTAAACAAGGACTGTAAATGATGTAAGATGATATGGTAGAAACAACAAATTAGCTCAAACTAATCAGTCCTTTGCATTACTATATTTTATGAAGGCAATATTTTATAAAGGCAATGTTTCCCAAGAAATCATACCATAAGAAATACATGGTAGATCTGTTGTAGTTACTATATGCATTGCCTATACAGACTGCTTTCACTGTTCTTATTTTTCAATACTGACCTCTTAACTTAATGAAATATGATATTTTATTTGGAACATTTCCTTTTAAATTCACATTCCCAAATCCCTTGTGAATGAGCTAACAACAACAAAACTGAATCTTTTGTTTCCTTTATAACAGCAACTACACCTATCATCTAGGATAAATCCAGTATTCACAAGACTGAAATCTGTTTCAATAACTGCAAATCTCAAAAGTTGAAAAGTTTATAGCATGGCAGTACATTAAGTACAAATGTATATTAGCAATCTTTGCTTCAGGAGGTCAAAAATGCCACTTGTCAGGACTTTTATTGTATAGCACAACACTTTGTTATATAACCCAAAGTATAAGTGATTTATCATTAAATGAAAAAGCAATTCCTTCGTTTACACAATAAGCTGTTGTTGACATATGCACGAGTCTTTACATAAAACAGAAAGGGAACTAAAAATATTAGGAAGCTAACCCGATACATAATTAAACCAACCTCAAAGCACATATGGTTAATTTTATGAGAAAGGTTTTTATTAAAATCACTACCTTTCCAAAGAATTATGTTTTGTTCAACAGACTAAACAGTATACCACATACACGTTTCAAACATTTGTTGCAGTAAAGGACTAATAAAATTTGAAAGTTCCCTGTCTTGCCTAACTTAATATAGCGAACCAGAATCTTCTTTTAATGGGCCCAAGACTTGTTCTCTGCTATGTCAGTTAGTATAAAGGTTGTAAAGCACCAAACTGATGCAATTCAAAATAATTAATTGAACACTGAAGTCTCTGAACACAATGAACACCTTAGCCTTTAGAAATAATTAACAAAAATCTCCTAGATATCAGTGAACACCTGCATTAGGCAGGGAGGGTGAGGGGGAATACAGTAGAGGAAAAGAAAAATTGGAAAATAGGCTTACTTGCTGGAACCCCAGATAGTCCTGGATGGTTGAAGAGACATAAAAGACCAGAGCATCTGATGTAACAACCAGTACAAAGCCATTTAATGCCTAGAGAGAAGACAGCAAACCGTCAGCTTGGAAGATAAAATTCTTCATGATAACAATAGTTGCTGTAAGTCTACTTACTGGTCTTATGTTTCAGTATTGTATGGAATATGATAGACAAAAACTATACTTTAAAATGCATATTTTTTTGTTTTACTGTTTAATACAAACCTGATTTTTCAGTGGTCCCTACAAAAACATTCTGGAAAATGCAATTTGAAAGAAAACCTTATATAAAGGTTTAGCACAGAATTCTTCACATTGTCCTTCTGGGCATATGATATCAAGGTAATTAACTCTGCCTTCACAGTCCTCCAATCCAACAGCCTTCATCACAATGTATATCATACATTGATATGAATAATGTACTCCAAACAGAAACAAGACCTAGGTAACCATAAGCTATTTTCAAACAAGTCTGTCAAAGAACTGGACATATTTATGTTCTACATACCGGGTTAAATTAATTACTAATTAAACTATAATCAAAGTAAACTCCACTGAAGTCAAAATTAAATCATAAACACATTTTTTTCCTTTTTAAAAGGAAAATGCAGCAGGCAATATAAGAAAAAGGAAACAGTTCAGATTTCATAACATATTCTAAATTTTAAAGACAACAGTGAAAGTAAAATATTAGAAAAATTGTGTGTTTATAGGCAAATAAACACTACAAGTACTGCAACTTGGAAAATCCAATTTAAATACATAAATAAATGAATAAATAAATAAATAATGGAGTTCTGATTCCCAGAAGGGAGAAACCTCAGAGGTTCAATGAAGTCCACGAGTGATTTCATTACCACTATTGATTTTCTATGGAAAGTACTCAGATACCAGTTTTAAAAGATTTTGTTATGACAATACTCTGAAATACAGTTTGATTACTTAGTGTAAATGGAACTAACAGCCATTGGAAGCCCAAGCTTTTGGCATAGGTAACAGATGAAACTTCTTCCACAGAACCATGCTGTAAAACAGGTCTCCCAGATCTGTTCTACTTATAGCGCAGATGGGCTTGAAGTTGAGTAAATCGTGAAGTCCCCACCCCTCATATGATACTAAAAGCATTTTACAGCTCACTTAAAATATACAGCTGAAAACTTCTACACCAGCAGACTTACTGTAAGCAAACAATGTTTTCAAAGAGATTTCCCCCTTTATAAAGAAGCAGACAAAGTGGCTCCTTATTTGAAGTCACGCAAAGGGCATTTATCTGAACTCCCAATCAATATGGTTCATAGCAATTGTTGTGATAGCAAACAGAACATTTGTGACTTGGCAGCTCATCTAAAAGGTGCTGATTTACTTCCATGGATTCCAGTCAAGATTTACAAAAGCCTGGCTCAAGGGACTGAACTAAGACTGTTGTGCCACTTAATTGCCATAACTGCATTTAGAGATTGAGTTCAAGAATGTTCATATAAGCACACTTTAAGTCGGCAGCCTGAAAACGAGTACTAGAATTAGTGGATTACATAAAGCAAATGAAAGATTGTGTTGTTGTGTTTATCTACACAGTTAAATGAAAGCAACTTACTACAAAGCTTCCCACCCTCACCCAACACAATCGTCACTGGTACAACCTTTTTTTTGAGTAAATTATGCCAGTGAGTTATAACTTCAGTTACTACTTCCATTTGTTTGTTCTGTTACCAGTGGTTAATAAACTCAGATTAAATGGCCCATTATCCTTCAAAAAAGTGTATTACCATTTTATCTCAAGGTATACTTTTAAATAATTAATTATCATGCTCTTGAGCTATTTAAAGACTTTCAAAAGTGAAGTACTCATTTCCTATACTAGGAAGTTACAGTTGCAATGCTGGTAATTAAGGGAGAATATGAATTAAATTAAGCAAATAGCTAGACTATTTGAGGTCCCAAAACCTCAAAATAAATGCCTTCCAAGCTTTATAAACATTGCCAAGTTTTGTTTTAAAAAAAAATTTTAAAAAGTCACAGTACCTCCAAGTACATAGGATTGAAAAAATATTATGGCCTGCATGTGGGTGCTCTGCAAACTTAATTTATAAATACATCTCCTATTGTCCAATAAAATGCCTGTAAACTGTACAGTGATTCTGGCCAGCAGCTAAAATTAGTACTCTTATTTCTTTTCATCCAAAAAACTAAAGCAAAGATTCTTTGTGAATTCTGTAGTACGAACAGGACAGCTCTCTTCTCTTCTGCAACCTATATTTTACATTAGCTCTGTTGCTTAGTTTGCTTCGAGACCTGACTATTTAGGGCAAAAAACAAATGAACAAAACCCAGATACATTAGCCTTCATGTGAAACTGTACATCACTGTGAATGTAGTACCAGCAACGCACTTTCCCAAGCCTCTACTACAGCACAGTACTGAAAGCTCCTTAAAACCATACAGGGATGGTGCTTAAGTCTACTTTAACAGTAAATATGGTCCTTTTCTACCCAGCTCAAGTCCCTGAAAAAATTAAAATATCTACTGCTGTGAGATGCCACCATCTTAGGTTTAAGACTAAGTTTTTAAAATACCATGCAGGAGGACCTAGCCATGTCTTGGCATTAACTGCTGTACAAGCACTGAAGCAGGTTGGAATAGGATCAAACTTAAATGGGTTATAGATGGAACAGGATCTGGCCTGCAAAGGTCTAAAATAAATTTGGGACTGGGTGTAAAGGGTACATCAAAGAACATAATGTACAGTCAGTTTTATGTGAAGCTGTCAAACATGCTAAAAAACAGAGAAAATAAAATGTGATTTTTTTTTCAATGGCAGATATATGTCACATTTTCAATATTTAGATAGAATCACAGCCTTCAGAGGAGTTTTATATTGACACATTCACCAACAAGTAGAGGTGCATGAGTACATTAGTCCATATCGTATTGGCATCGATAAAGGAAAACTGACATTGGCAATAGGCTTTTTTCACCTGACGTGGCCGATAATGTCACCAATAAATGCTACGTGCATACGCACAGCCGCAGCATGCACAGGGCCAGGAATGCAGCCCGGCAGCATCCAGCTGGTAAGTCTGTGGGGGGAAAGGGGCATGGGGGAGGCAGACTGAGGCCCCACAGACAGGGAAGGAGCAGGGCAGGGGCTGCCTAGCCGGGATTGGGTGCGGGACGGAGACGCAGCTCGTCTGGGGGACCAGCAGCTCCTGCTGCTGCATGCACCCTCGGGGGAAGGTATGGGGGGGTATATGCTCCCCAGATCTGTGTGCAGGGTGAGGACTGGCTGTGGGCTTGGGGTTGTGCTGGGCTCTTCCTGGTGGTGGTGGGGGGGGGGCTGGGCCCGGGCTGCACTGGGGCCAGGAAAGACAGGCAGCAGCTGTGGCACTGAGAGGAGGAATGGGGGGGGGCTACAGAAAATTCTGGGGTGGCTGTAGCTCCCCCCCAGTAGGCCCCCTTCCCAGTGCCACCACTGCCCACTTCAAGCACAGCCCAGGCCCAGCCTGTGCCGAGAAGAGCCTGGGGCAGCCCTGACTGCATAGCAGTCAGCTTGCCCTCACCCTGTATACAGATCTAGGGGGCACATGCCTCCCATGGGGCTCCAGGCAGTGGCTCCCCCCTCCCTGCCTGCATCCCCTGAATGAGCCATGGCTCTGTTCTGCCCTGGCTGGGCAGCACCTGCCCCTGCCACTGCCCCACTCCCTCCCTTACCATACAGGCCTTGATCTGGCCCCCTCCCTGACCCCCTACCCCTCCACACTCCTTCCCTCTCACAGACTTACCGGCCAGATGCTGCTCTCCAAGCTGTCAGGCTGCATACTAGCAATTGGATTGGTATCAGCTGATATAGCTTGATAATAATTAGCCATTGGGATTGGCCTAAAAAATCTTTATCGGTGCACCCCTACCAACAAAGTATTTTTGAATGTCAAACAATTATCTTCAATCTAATTTTCCAGTTTTAGGAAGACTATGTATGGCAGGTAACTGTCTAAATGCAAACATTTTCTTCTTTAAAATATTACATTAAAAGTTATTCAATTTTATAAGTGGGCATTTTAATTTCATTTTAACTGATGCAAATGCCTTTTCTAAATCTTCTTCAGTCCCAACTTCAAAGACCAAGCTATTCCCAGATTTTCCACTTCACTGATTTAAACAGAAATACAATTGTTTACATTGGCTGAGGACCTGCCCCTTTATGGCTTACATATATCAGCACCTATCTGCCCAATCATTTTTGATATTTATATTTCCAAGTAAAGTATCTAAGAGCTTGCCAGAACTTTCAAGGAAAACCTAAAGAATACTCCAGGAATAATGTCTGTTGACCTCCTATCTTTCAATCTTGTGTTAATGAAGCTTAAAGACCTCATTCAACAAACAAAAGGACCTATTATGAACTCTTGGGTGCCTGTACACATGCAGGATACCTGCTCTGATGCATTCTAATTAGAATGCTCCAGCAGCTTCGCCATCACGTGTACTCAATGTCCCCACAGTTCAAAATGGAAGTGAGGGCGCTTTAACCTAAAACTTATTCAACATGCTTTAGTTAAAGTGCCCTTGACACCATTTTGAAGTGCAGGAAGCTGAATACATGAGATGCTGCAGGTGTTTTAAAGTAACTCCTAAGAGCCAATCTAATTAAAACACCCACCCTGCACTACACTCTGGCGCACATGTATAGATGCTCCATATGTCTCTGCAGGCTCAATGAAGTAAATGGGAGCATGGGTAAATGTAGTGCTATGCACTATTACAATTTATAACCTGGTTCTAAGTTTTGGGATTTTCTAAGATGTTTCTAAGACTTGGCAGACATGCAGTTAAAGGTGTGATGGGATCTGATATGTGATCCCCACAACTGTGCTTCTTGCCATGTCACACATGAATGGCAGGAGGCGTGGTTATGGGATCAAGCATCAGATCCCATTATGCCTTATTGCTGTTGGGGATCAGGATCCCAGGCTTTACCCTTCACTGGCAAATAGAAAGGTTTCCCAGCTGGGAGCTCCATCGGCTAGTGGGGCTTCCAGCCATGGGGCTGTGCCATGTGC